ATATTTATTTTTATATAATTTTTTTATATAAATTAAAGAAATACACAAAATTTTATGGTGAAAATTTTTTAAATTTATAGGGTAGGTAGTCTACATATGCTGGAATACATTTCCGGCTAAATCGGATGATAAAATTTTAAAATTCGCCCACAGTATATGATAAAAATGGAGAAATTATGGATCCCATGGATATGACATAATATATAATTAAAGTTAAAAAAAAATGTTAGGTTTAATTCACAATTGTTTTTGCAATGGATATTTAATTTTGACATTTTGCAAACCTTACATGATTATAATAATTATATCGCATCTAAAAGATTTTGTATTTCAATCTAGATACATTTTTAGATTTATATACCTGAATCGAAATACCTAACTTTTAGAGTCTAGATACAAATGAAAATATCTTTTACCAACAATATGAATATATTTTTATTTAAATATTCAATTCAATTCAATCTATAGATAACTCATTATTTACAAATTAAAAAATATTTAACATATTTTAAATTATTAGAGATTTAACAAATTCAAGGATATACTTCACTTGTACGGGTTAGTAGAATTTTGATTTATTTATAGTTGCGCGTTTTTTTAATTTAAGCTAGGATAAATGATTTAACCCCAGATTTGTTAAATCAACCCCCTAAGACATAAAAAAAGATCAAAAGGTTACTATATAGAGAGCATTACAATATATAATTGTAATAAAAAAAATGCAAATTAGCATCATAAATTTTTAAATAAAATCTTTTTTTTTAAATATAAAGATTTATGATTAATTAGAACAAACGTTACTTTATTATTATCTTGAATGAACTAATAATTACAAAAAAATTTTTTTTTGTCTAAATCAAATTATACAGCTTTGAACAAACAATAAGAGTTTTCTTTTCCTTGATATTATTGCATTGTAATCAACAAATATTATACAGTAAGAATTTTTTTAAACAAACAAAATGCAATTGAGATAACATTTTTGATAAACAACCAGGGCAGCAGAGACAGCGTTTTTTTAGGAGCCGGTGATTTATATAAGGAAAGGTGATCATAATCGAAGATGCTTTTGATATTTTAACAAAAACAAAGTAACTATCATATTACTTTGTTATCTAAAGTCATGCGGAAAAAAAATTGTGGCCAGGTGAGAAGAATTTGTTAAGCCTCAGTGATTTTATGATCCAAAAAATTTAATTATTAACTAATGGAAAATTATTTAATAATTGAAAATAAAAATAGAAATATTGTAAAAACATGAAATTTTGATTAATATAAGAAAAGATCAAATTACAAGGCCTCTGTTTGGAGAAACTCGTGTTTTTTATTAAGATTTGAAAAGGAATGATAAACCGATTCAAAATATGTAATTCAGTTGTAATGTATATGTTTATTTAATTAACATAATTAAAAAATATGCTCCAATTATTTGTGTTGTGTAGCTGTCGATAAAATTATATTCCTGAAAAAAGAAAGTTGTATAATTCATCGAAAATCTAGAACCTAATGTTTATAAAATTAGTTGTTCAATCTGACTATAATTAAAAAATTTACATTTTAAAACCCGGAGTAGCCCGATATTTTTTTGGAAATCTTTTGATCATGCGTGGATTTCCATTTTCGATCATTTTACAGCTAGATCCAGAATTTTTAAATGCAGTTATTTTGAATAATTTTGACTGTATTTTCTAAATTGTTTCAAAGAGTGAAAATATGAGCAGCGCAAATGATGAATATTAAACGCTCCATTTTATGATTTCCCAAAAAATTTATATTGTATTTATTCTGTTTTCTTTTTTTACATATATTTTTTTTGAATTCTAAAAGTATTTTAGTTTTTCTTTTGTCTAGACAAAATGCATTGTTTTTCAATTCTCTCCCCCCCCCCCTTTTTTATTTGTAAATTTGTAAAAATGTAAATAAGTTTCTGTTCTGTTTGTCTTTTTCATCGTCCAATTCAATGATATTTTGTTTTTGATGTTTTTTTTATCTAGGTTACCTCGCCACGCCATATTATAATACGATATTTGAAGTGAATGATTATTACATTTTTATGTTTGAGTATATGATTTCTTTTGGATAAATAGGCGATCAAAAACGAAATTATGGACTATGATTTCTTATTTCTACGATAAAATTGTTTACGTAGATTATAAAATTGTAAATTATTTTAAAGAATCCATAATATTAAAAAAATGATTCTATATATTAACCCTGTTCCTGCAAATTCACACTTCTACTATGATGCGATCTTGTATTGTCCCTTAAAATAAATGAGATGAAAAGCCGCACTTTTGCAGTGTTAAGAAATCTGTTCCATATTTCAAATTAAATTAAAATGAAAGCCGCACTTATCCTGAAGTGTCAAGAAATCAGTTCCATATTTCAAATTAAAAAAAGTCGTACTTATCCTGCGGTGCGGAGAAATTCGTCTTTATTTCACTGTATAAATGGAAAGCTGCACCACTGCTGTACGGCGGCAGCTGTCTTGGTTTCCAATTATTGGATATAGTTCCATAATAAGAAAACTATAGATCACCTAGAAATTATGTTGGATGTACTAACGATGGCTAAAATTCCAGTTAAACCGGGTCCCTCAACCCACCCCTGAGATTTCGGGACCATCAACCATAGTCGACTCATCTTCATCGTTCGTGGAGCCCACGTAATCGGCTCAGAATTCAATAATTTTTTAAGTGATTAATTGATATGATTCATTTATTTTTAAATAATCTCTGCCAAGATTTAAAAATTTTTTTAAATGCAGCCCGTTTGAGCTTATTTTTTAATAAAATTGTATCCTGGTACTTGGATTTGGTCTGGGCCTGCATGTTCTGATAATAAAAAATTAAATTTTCCTTCTTTTATTGTTTATCTTAAAACATCAAACTTTTATGTTCGATTCACTAATAACAACAAGAAGTAGAAGAACGGGCACGTTGTGGACAGGGAGTTTACTCCAATTCAATTTATTTTCAAGTTTTATCATATAAAAATGGAAATTCAAACCTTACACAGCTAATTGTGCCATACATCAATGGCTAAAAAAATTGAAAAATATATATTCATTTAATTTTTAAAAAGTAAATGTGATCCAGCCATTTCGAGTTCGGTTTAAGGTTAAAAAAATAGGTGGGTATTTTTGAACCCGGGTTTGGTCGAGAATAAGTTAAAATGGCTTAAATGAATTAAGTTGTTTAAAATTTATTAACACTTCACTTAATTGGAAATTTGAATATTATAAAATCTCAATTAAATTATTAATATTTTATTTACAATTATACAAATATCTTATATGTTTTTAAACAATACACCGAACCCGGTTGAACCCGGGTTCGGTTCGGGGTTTTGAAAATTTTATATACAGGGTTCAGGTTCGGTTCGGGTTCAGATTTTTTCCAAAAATCTGAGTTTTCTTCTCCGGGTTCGGGTTTGGTTCGAATCCCTGGATTAACAATCCAAGAGTGAAAAAATATATATAAACTTTATCGTTTTATATTTATAAATAAAGCTTTTAAAATTTAAATATATGAAAGTTTAAAAAACTCCTTTTTTATGAAATATTTTAAGAATTAACAAAATTTTAAATTGTTAAATTAAGCAAAGACAATTATTATTTTATTTTTTACAAAAATTTGTAAAAATCACTAAATGATTAATTATTAATATATTAAAGCTTCTGATCATATAACAATATATTTTTTAAAATATTTACTTTTTAGATCCTCATTTATTTTAGTCAGGGAACCGAAACGAATATCGGTTTTGGTTCAGGTTCTGATAATAATAACGGTTCAAGGTTCATGTTCGGTTCGTAAAAATCTAAATATCGGTTCGGTTTGAACCTCTAAAAACCGGTTTGAACGTTTTTTTTATTCAAACCTACATTTGATTAATGTATAGGGAAAAAAATTTTTATTTCATAATTAAAATAAAAAAACATACAAAAAACCTTCATTTTTATTAATTGCACATTATAAAATAACATTTTATAAATATAACAAATAAATATCAATGATTAATTTTAATATGAACAATTACATAAAAAATTTTTATTAAGCCGCACAATTAATATATTTTCAAATTCATCTCACTTAGATCTATAAGGAGATAATATAAATTTAATTGTTAAAAAACATCTTTCCACATTAACTTAGGTAGCCGACACTGCCAATATGATATCAGATTTGATGTGTCATTTATAATAATATTTTGGATTTAATTTTTCTCTAAGCATTATAATTTATAAGCTTAAAATATTTAAAAAATGTTATAAAATGACAATATACTAAAGTTTATAAAAATTATGACCGGCACTTATCAATCAAATGTTATTGATGCCAATCTTTAAAATAATTCGAATATAATTGAAATCTTTTCAATATACTAATAATAACTTACATATTATTTTATAAGAATAAAACCATGAGGCTTGAACCGGTTCAGAGGCATTTTAGCGGTTCGGTTCAGGTTCAGCTAGAATTTTTTTAACGGTTTAGGTTCGGTTCAGGTTAGATAAAAAATACCGGTTTTTAGCGGTTTAACGGTTCGGTTCAGATTCGGTTTGGATCCCTGATTTTAGTGGACCAACTAACAACATGGACTCACTCAATTACCATATGATAAGGTAAGTTGGTCCAAATATACTTTGAAGATTCACTATATGTTTTATTTATACCTGATTGGTTTGATAATATGGTACTTATTCAGGTTAGAACAAAATGTGTCATAACTTACCACGGTCTCTTAATATAAAATTGAATTGTCAATTGGGAGAAAGTTTTCAAATTAGAATAATCATTTTCAATTTAATATAAATATTTGCCTTTTTTTTCAAATAAAAAATATTGATTAAATTTTGGTGTTGGGAGAACTTTTGCTTTTCCCTGGTCACCTTTCTAAAAATAGAGGCCAATTTAATTATAGATTATAAATTTTTTTTAGAAAATATAATTTTATATAAAAAAAGAAAATTTTTTTTGCTAATAAACAACGTTAACCTTATCACATTTTTTGCAGATAGCGGCGATTTTTGTCTTAAAGCATTCCTCGCAGTGCATTCCATCATCATCCGGATATATATCTATATCAACCAGTGGTTTTTTACAAGTCACGCATATAAAACATTTATCGTGCCATATTTTACCATCATTTTCAATTTTAGATTGACCTTTTATATAAATTAAATGAGCCAAATTTTATACACAAATCTTTCTGAAATATTATATAAATACTTATAATTAAAATGCTCGAATAAAAGTAATTAATTGCGATGACAAATTTTTTTAATTGATTCTTAATAATTATAAATATGAAAAAGTAGCATTATTAACATAATTTAAGAATGAAATCTGATTTATTGGATATAATATTTCAAACGAAAGCACAGAATTTATTTCAAAGAATTCTTATATTGCCCTGCCATCAACATAAATAGGGTTACTAGGTTTGTTGGAGAAGCCTTTTTTCAAAATTTAGTCATTCAAAAATGTATAATGCAACATCCATGTAGTGTTGTGATTGTCGAAAACAGATATTTTAAATGTTCATAAAAATATTATCTTAGTCTAAAAATTTGGCACATAGATTGCGGAAAGGTTTGGCTCTTTAGACCAAATTTCAAGGCGTAGGTAATGTATTTTTTTAGGTAAGACTTTGATTTAGCCGTTATTTAAAAATTAAATCGAGATTTTCTAAAACAATTCATATTATCGAAACATCGAAAGTTTAACTAGTCCAGTTTAAACACTTATTGCTTAATTTTCCTGGATTTTTATAATTATTAAAAATTATTTAACACAAAACTATCTTATTAACCACAAAATTTAGAGAATCCAAAAACCTTAATCTGAAATTGTCTCGAAAGTATAAACAAAAATTTGATACCGGGTTCAATGACTTGATCACAGGCGAAGCATTTGCCTATGAAGGCCTCTCCAAAACATTTTGAGCAATATGGTTTCCCTTTCCTTTTATCATAGAGCTTTTCCTCCAGGCATTCTTTACATTTTACGCATTTAAAGCATGGAGCATGGTACCAATTAAACACGCTGAGCTTGATTGCCTGAATAAAATATATTTTGTTTGTTTATAATATACATTAAAATAAGGTGAGAGTTAAAGAATTAGGTTGGTAGAGCAGCAAATGATTTTAATAATGGTGCAAAATCGTCATAACTACCAAACACAGATAATTATTCAAAAATATTTTGCCGCTATCGATCAAAATATAGGCGAATAGATCTAACTTTAAGTATATAGGCAAGTTATAAGGAATATTATTTACTGTATATTTAAATATAATATAAATATAATGACCTTCTCCCCAGCGGATATCATTTTGCTGCATTCTTTGCATTTGTTAGCCAAATATTTTTCGTAACATTCCAAACAATAAGGCTGAGAATCATTTTCCACATATTCCAAAATACTATTGTTGCACTTCCAACATTTCATAATTACTTTATAATGGGTATTTAAAAAATAAATGTAATCTCTAATTTGACTCAAAATGTTAGGATACGTATAATATATGTCAATAATAATAGTGGTAGGTCAAAATATTCCATAGATAAAATGTTCGAAAACAACAATTACCCGAAATTTAAGAATAGCCTATTATTTAAAAATGTAATTCAACAGGGAGGTAACTACTTGGGAAGGGTTGGGGAGGGGGGGGGTGGTTATATTTCCCACTGCGGAACTTTTGCAAAATTTTAAAATTCTTTTGATGTAATAAATAGTGAGTGAATGTGCAACTAGGAGTAGATTTTAATTAAAATGCGAATATTATATAGTCATTTGCAACAGTATTAGGGAAAACAAACATTGTAGTGTAAATCTAGTAACTCCATCACTTAATGTATTGACAAGCTCTAAAACAGTTATACATGTTAGAATAACAAAATTTTACGTTTATTTGCGTTACTTTAAAAATTTAATTCTTTTTTAAAAATTGTTTTATAATCTGCTAATTTCCCATTTTATTAATAAATCTTTATAATTTCAAATGATGGTAACGATGATAAAGGGAAGGGTTTGGGGTCGAAACCTCCCTGCCCCATGGAAAATGATTAATTTTAAAACAAAATTATAATATTTTTATATTGATATTAAGTAAAAAAAAATTTATATTACTTTTAAATTAAATTGGTCACCCTTCCTCTTCCTCTTCCTCTTCCTCTTCAATTTTCTATTTCTATATAATTATCTCAGAAATTCCTTCTTCAATTTATGAAGTCTACGCATAAACAATATACTTGTATGCACATTTAATTTTTGAATCAGTTACATAAAAATGAATTTATTTTAAAAAATTGCTCCCCAAGGATGCTATAATTTATATGAAATTGACTGTAACCTTTTTTATTTCTAAGTGTAAAAGCGCACTTATTTAGTATATTACTTTACTAAACAATCTCTTAAAATTAGCACAATGGTTTTAAATTTTACCATAACCATTCAATTTTATTTTAGTGTATCATATTTACCAAAAATGTCACAAGTCTATTTGAATATTTTTTTATGCTACCGGTACTAAATTATAAAGGTATAAAAGCTACAGCCAGAGATACCGAGTTTAGTTAAAACACGATAAAAGTTGATTTTTGTAATGATGGTTGTTTATTTGTATTATTTTTATTATAACTAGTGTCTTAACATAATACTCAGATTCTATTAAAATTTTGAAAATATAACTCGATTCAAAATATATTAGGAATATAACTATTTTAATTGGTAATACTTATAAAGATCGTAGATTCATAAGATTACAAAATATTTTGAATCAAGGAAAAAAAGCCTTAATGTATTTAGATGTAATTGATGTTTGAATCGCAATTTAAAATCTGATATAAATGACATAGCCTAAGGCGTGATGTTATAATTTTTATTTCCCTTATAACTGGTTCTGTTTAATGATTCATAATATTGATGAATTAATAATTATTAATCAAGTATTATATATTCGCGCAAACAAATTTTCTGTGCTTATGTAATTTTTGTTCTGGTATAATGCCAAGTATGGCAATTTATTTCGGCCAATGATGCATCTTTTCTTTAAACTATCTACTAAGCGGGTTGAAGTTTAAAAATGTACTAAATATCCACTAATTATTGATATAAGTTTTATGGTTCCAGGTGTGGATACGGATATATATTGTTAATTATTGTGTAGCAATTCTTGCTAAACGACCAAAACTGTTAAACAACGGCCAAATTTATTAAAATGCAGACTCATTTAAAAAAAACTAAATATTAACGTAATCAGGCGGTCTTTTCAGATATTCTATATATCATTACCCGTAGCACACCCTAGTTGCTCCAGAAAAAAGTGGATTTTTACTGAATAAGAACCAAAATTTATAAGGTAGGTAATATATGCCAATATTAACTGGGCCATATCAAAATATCAATTTTTTATATATATAAGGATACATAAGGCACTATCTAATATATTAAGAAAAACACATTAAAGAATCAATAATGTTCAACGCTATACATTATTACCCTCCAGAAGTATGGATGACCTCACGCTTAGACATGATATCATAATTTTTATTTCACTTATAATTCGGATCAATTGAAGAATTAATAAGTAAGGCATATATTAATACAAACCAGATATTTTAATACCTTCTGTTCTGGCATTATGTGATGCCAATTTTGAAATCCTTTATTTATTTTATCAATTTTCCCCCTTTAATCCGTACACCAGATTAAAGCTTTAAAATATACTAATAAAGTATTTCTTAATGGTTTTGCATATGATTCAAAATTAGTGTTTTCAATTCCTCACTTCACGCTTAAAGCGTGACGTCAATTTTCATTGTAATTGGGTGTTATTTTGTGGTTCACTGCTAAATATTAGCTCAAACCAGATACCTTATACTTCTATATTTCCCATTCTGGCCTTATGCCAATTTTAGCCTTTATTTTGATAATAACATTTTTTCTTCTCATTATCTAAAAAACTGCATACAATTAAGCACTAACCACCCTTTTCTTTTTAAAATTCTAAATAGTGGTTCTGATATTAAAAATATTTGGGAAAATGATGGAATTAACAAAATTAAAATTTATTCAAAAGTTCGTCATCAAATCGCCTGAAATTTATAGGGTAAACATTTAACACATTATTCGAAAAAAAATTTAAATTTAAAAAGGTCGTCATTCATAAATGATAAAAAGTTGGAAAAAAACTAAAAAATAAAACAACATTCAAAGTATCGCCTCATAAAACCTTTTATTGAACTAATAGAGGGACAAAATGAGATATAATTTATTAATCTAATTACATCTAAGCGCATTGGTATTTTAATATGGAACTAGCACCTTGTTTTAATTTTATTATATAATTTGCCTTTTTAACTCGACAAGACCCAAGTCTCTTTTAGAGATTTTAACTAGTTACTGGAAAAAAATTGCGGCGCTACTAATTAGATACTTTTTAAAAATAAAAGTAATCGCTACTCAAAAATAATAGCGCGATTCTGCAGCGCGCTATTTTCAATAGCTAATAATGTCCAATTATTAATGACAAAAACATATTTTAAAATTTCAAATTATTCTCAAGAAAAAATATTATTTTTAAGTTTTGATAAATCATCGCCCCAAATGTCGCGACAATAAAATATATCCTCCTGCTTATTGAGATATTTTTTAGCTTGGATATGATTCGTTTTAATAAGCAGATAACCTACCTTTTCCTACTAGTGTATGCAATAGACAGTAATTTTATATAAAAATTGTTGACTTGATAGGAAAAATAAAAATTAATTGATTATTTTTCAGTTGAATGGATATTTTTTTTTTAGATTTTATGGAATTTAGAGTAATCTGGTATTAAACGGGAGCAATATTTATAATTTAAACATTTTATAACACGTTTTTTCAATTATCAAGGAATTTATTTTAACATGTGTATAGTAGGGGTAGCTTTAACATTTAGTTATAAACCAAAAACAAACGTCAACTTCTTACCCAATATAATGTAGGCACTATTTGAGATTTAGTGAAGGTCGATTTTTTTTGCTATCACACCCCATGCTCGGGTTAGGTGAAAGCATTAACGGTAAACTGGCACATATAAATTTAAAACCATAAAAAAATATATCTTGAATTTTTTGAATAAAAAAAAGATTAACAATTTATAGGTAGGAATTCCATAAAAAAATATACATCTTGAATTTTGTTGAATAAAAAAAGAATAACAATTTGTAGGTAGGAATTACATTAAATTTTTAAAAAATCAGTAAAAACACTATGAGAATATATGTAGGAGTCATTATTAGCACAACGCACACATTGAATCCATTTTTTAAAAATTTTTTGATTTCCTATTTTATTGAAAGGTTATTATCTCCACCATTTTATTTGCCAATTCACCCCTTGCTACTTTGAATCAGGAGTAGGGGTAGATTTTATAAGGCCTAGGAACTAAAAAGCATAGGAACATGTTTTCTCATGGGTCATAACTTATATAATACACTATATATTTTGTAAAATTTATACAATTATTAAAGCAAAAAAACCAAATTTATTTTTTAGGTATGATGGGAAAATTTATTTTTCAATAACCGCGAAAACCCGCTCCCCCACTTTTTCAAAAATTAGCCTTAGATAACAGGCATAAAAGACATCGACAAATTAGATGTCTAGCTCTTGGAAGTGGAAATTATATTTTCCTTCCCACCATGCTTGCCATATGTCCCTAATCCTCCCTAACTTCAGTATCAATTTCAGACAACCGCTGTGAAACTTTGAATCGATTTTCCCCTCACCTATGACAATACAAATTTAAAAAATGACTTTATAAATATTAATTCAATAAAAGCATAGTCTCAGCGCATAATAAAACCAAAAAAATATGGAACTCCTCCTTCCACCTAAAACTCATATAGCCCGGACTTTTAAAAAAATATTATATGGCCTTTTCCGGGCTAAAAAAAAATAAATTTAATTGTTTTACTTTTTACAGTGAATATTCAGGGAAATTATTTTTTTTGTTATTATAAAATTTGATTTATTTCAAAAAGAAAAATTAGAGAAAATATTTTAGGAATTTCCTATACATACTTTTTCCTTAACAACGGCACACATGTTCCTATAAATCGTTTTTATTTATTAAATTTAAAATTTAAATTTATCTGAAACATAATAACATAATAATTTCGCAAAAAGATTTAGAAAAATGAATGATAATTAAAATCTAATGATAACATTGTAATTTTTAAAAAAAGTTTTTATTTATAAATTTTCCAATATTTGTAATAATCTTCTTTTAATTTAAAACATCTTGATACTTTATTATATAATGCGTCATTTCTTAATTGCATAATTCTTTAAATTAACCAGGGCTGAGAGCCCGAACCTTTCTAATTCTCAAGATTTTGTTAAGAACCCGAACCCTCATTTTAAATTTAGGGTTTAGGATTCAAGAATCGCCTATTTTATTTATTCTCTCAGTGATGCTATTATCTTGGATAATTCGCTTAAATAAAATTTTTAAAATACAAATATATAATTTTTTTTAAAATCTTATTTTAGGTTTATTATTCTAAATATGATGAATTATTTTTATGATGAATACTAAATATATGTTTCTGTTAATTAAATATGTTTTATAAGTCCTTATTTATCGGACTCTAAACCCAAACCTGATTTAGGATTTTACACTAAACTCCTATTCTTTTTTTTTAGAACTATAGCTTACACGGATTCATAATCTATAGTTAAAGTTTTATTTCTACAATCTCTAATTAACAAATTTTTTTATTAGCATATTTATACTTTTCAGGTCACTTTGTGTCTGTCTTCATATTTTTGCAATTTATTTATTTCTGCAATCATCCGACATATATTAGGTTTATTAGAATTTGGAGTATAATTATTAAAATAACACCTTAGTTGTCCTAGTATTACATTTTTTCATATGATAATTTTTATATGGTCAATTATTTCTAAATAACTTTCACTATTTCATACATACGCCCTTCGAAGCTTATGACGATATTCCCACATTGAATTTCTTCCAGATTTAACCTAAGAGCCTTTGCAGTTCGGGTCTCAAATGATTCAAGTTAATTATTTTAATCTGATCCTTAAATAATACTTATAGCCCTCAATAATTAAATTTATTAAAATATCAGTGTTTTACATGAGGGTGGAAGAGCAAAAGATATTACTATACACTTTCGAAAAAAACTTCTCCCCCCCCCCCATCCCTCCAAAAAATTACTTTAATTGTCTTTCTTTCTATAGGTAGAACGCGGAACATGTGAGCCCTAAAAGACAAACGTAAATAAAATTATAAATTATTTGATATTATTGAATAAATAATATCTCATATTCCCTTAACTTTTATGCTATACATATAATTAATTATTTAATGAAGTATACTTTTTTTTAACAGTAATTCATTTTTTAGAAAAAAAAATTTGGGAAAGGATGAACTACACCCGGGGAAGGATAAGCTTTCATATGAGGTGCTTTTTAGAAAAAAATTGAAATATTAAAATGATATATATATTATCGCAACTAATTTTTTGATAAGAATAAGCCACGATGGAAAATAATTATAAATGATTAGTAATCTATTGACAATTTAAACAAATGCAGAATGGGTTAAAACAACAAGTTCATGTGCCCAAAAAGAGCATTTACGTGAACAAAGACCCCATAAACTGATTTATTTTTGATACTTATTTCTGTTTAACCAGATTAGATAATTCCATAATATAGTTCCTTGTTCTTTCTTGGATATTTGTTTTGAAGTAGACAAAAAATCTTATTGTTTCATTAATGAGGATTTATATATTTTTACTGTTGCATAACCTAAGTTCGTTTTCTCTATAACGACTAGCTGGATGAATTTCCATTAAATATAGTAATATTCCATTATTTGTTTCATTTATGTTAGTAATAAGTTTTTTAAAATAACTTTCTTATTTTTAATAAAATTTTAGACAAATGGTCATTAATTCTCCAGACCCTCAATATCTTTAAATTTAATTTTATGGTAGCCTAAACATTTGTTCAAATAAAAAATAATTTTATATAGAATAGGGTTTAATCTTTTATATTAATTAGTTATTTATTAATTAAAACCTTTATTATTTTTATTTTTGATAAATTGAAGCATTTAAAAAAGTTACTTTTGAGGGTATAAATCATATATTGCGTTATAAAAATTTTATATGCAATAGGATATTTTAGCCGCATATGCATAATGTAGTTATACATATTTGGTCAAAAAAATTAACCATTAGAGTTGAGTACTCTAGACTCGCAAGAACCTCGGGTTCATAAGATCCCCAGTTTCTCCTATTTATTTTTATATATTCTTTTCTTAACTGTAGTTTCTTTAAAAATATTTTCCAATTTTTATAAAAATACAAATTAGCATTAAAAAAACAAAATATATAACATCAAAAAACAATAAATAGATTCAATTAGTGGCGCATTTAAGGGACCCGTTGTGGGAATAAGAATAAGATGGGTGCCATCAAATAAATGAAAATATTGTAAGAGTACAAAGGCTAGGATTTTCTGCTTTAATGATTAGCTTTTCAAATTCATTTTATTTACACATTCTGTTAAACATCTTTTGGTAAAACATCGTTACATAACTTCTTCTTGAATAAACAAAAATGTTTACTTGTAAAATAATTTTATTTTAAAGAATTTAAGGAAATATTATAAGATAAATTAGATCGGATAAATAATAGAATGGTAAAATTACACTTTAAAGAATATACAACTGTTACTATCGAGACTCCTACCGTTTCCATTACGAAAGCTAGTGGAACAAAAGTCGAATAATGGAGGATAAAGTTATAAGGTGTTGACTCAATGATCTGCTTATTAATTGGGCTAATTCAACTGTAAACATTTTATATAAGATAATAAGAGTCCGAATTTGGGGAAATTTTCGTGAGAAGAGAAATGCCTATTTGAAATAGGAGAAGAAAACATATTAATGAATATAGTGTCGATTACTATAATTAATGCGTTTAGAGGTGATTTCGCAGAGTATTTTTTAAGAAAGATAGTAACCGACAATGGAACACAATTCACAAGGTATTCATTGTAAATGGAATAGCATACAATATCTTGAAGCCCTATCACCGTATTTACTGCTAAGAACGTTAAAAGATAAATTGAATGCAACCAAGAGTCAAGAACACCACAACAGGAAGGTAACCGGTTGTGTTAATGAAGACTATGTGCACTTTTAGATTATATGTTCAAATCCCCCCCCAACGAAAAAATCATTGAAGATTCTTTTACAAAAACAATTTTATTTTTCTCAATAATCTACTTAGAGCATGCTCAAAAATTTTTTACGAATAAATTTTCAAATTTTTTTATTTACAAAAAAGCAAGATTTTTGAATATTTGAATTCTGAGCATTAAATCCTGAATAGAAAAAACTGAATTATAGTCCGGAATTCACCTAACAGGTATATTACCGAAAAACTTGGAACCGGAAAGACAGAAATAGTGATCTAGAATTGACCAAAAAGAAGCGTAGAATTACCACAGAGGTTTCAGGTGATTACCTTATTTAATATAAGGACAAATATCATGTTTTAATTATAAATAGTATAGTTGAAATTTATGTATATAAATAGAAATTTAATTCAACATATCTAGGGGAGACCGGGGTAAAACGATTCGTATATTATATTTTTACCATAATATTTTGAAGGATTAACAAAACAGAACAATATATATTTATATGTAGTCAAATCCCTCATCTACAAAATAATAAAAAAGTGTAGCTTTCTACCTATAATACTTTAGGAGTTGTGATTAATTATGTGAAGTGTGTCATTTTTGCCATTTTACCTCATACCCAGGGTAAGGTGGTTAAAATAAAATTGAACATTACTATATGTTTAATTGAACATAATATTACAATATTAATATCTATTCATCACTTTTAAGTATGAACTAATCAGTACAATGCCGAATGTAATTATTTTAAAAATAGCACATACTGAGTGTGTCCATTTTAGGAACATCGTACTATTCTTCCTCTCTACGACTATTCGTAAATTTTGATTCCAAATAACACAGAAACTATTTATTAATGTTTTTTTTTCTCAGAAATGTCTTTTTATATCGTGTAGATGTTAATAATTAAAAATGATTAATTATATAATAATTAGAAATTTATGAATAATTATAATCATAGCTTGTGCCTTTGCATATCACAAACATAGGTTATATTGTACAATGCAACTAATTTTTCAAATTAAGAAATGTAATCATGATCATGTAAACTCTCTTCATTTCCTCGAAAAAAAGCGCATATTAAATTAAGAGACGATGCCATAACCGAATTACAAATATTTAAACATACTTTAAATATAATATAATACTACCAAAGTCAAAAATAAGGCCGGTTAATGCAATGCAATATTAAATACTTTATTAAGATAAGATTAAATATTTTATTTATTGTCATAATTATTATATTAAAATATGAATATAATTTCGCATATAAACAAAAATTTGTCTTTAAAAAAGGTTGAATATTTCAAGAGTTATAGAATGCACAAAATTATCATTTTTACTCAGCGAGGAGGGGGAGGGGCAAATTCTTCTCCAAAGCCAAAAAATCAGAGTTGTTAAACGCTATTTTTAAAAGTAGCGGGCTACCGCTATAGCTATTTGTCAAAAAAAGTAGCGCGCTACCGCTTTCGCTATTTGTCAAAAAAAGTAGCGCGCTATTAGCTACTTTTTATAAAAAAAAATTTAAAAACAAATGAAACAAATTTTTTTTATTTATTTTTTTGCTTATAATGTAAATGTATAATAAATAATATATAAAAATCAACATTTATAAATATAAAAATATAGTTAGTTTAGATTATAAAAAAATAAGCAATATAAATAAATATTTGATATGGAAATGAATCATTATTAATTAGGATTACTTCTGTATACTCTTTTATAAAAGTATGCTCTTCATCGTTAAATATTCAATTTCAACAAGATCACAGAGATAATTAATCTCTAATCTTCTTTCCTCCAGAAAAAAAGCGATTAGTTTTATTGCTTGGTATACAGAATTCCATCTTGTACGATTAGGGGTTAATAAATACCTCCCTAA